ACTATTATTTTTATCATTACTATTATTATTATTATTACTACTACTACATATTATTATTATTATTATTATTATTATTATTATTATTATTATTATTATTATTATTATTATTATTATTATATTACTGCATTGCTTCATTCATTATTCTAGGTATATTCACAGGCCTAGCATACGTTATATTATTAGGTCTTCCTACAGTTGGCTCAGTTACAATCTCTATATATGATCCATTTCTCTGAAATAACCATCTTATCTGTGTTGTGCTGGCCAATACAATGGATAGTTTATTTGACTAGTCTCTGCAATTAACACCCTTGGTTCTTTATTATTGTAGATACTCAGTATGCATAGATAAATAGACCAATCATTTTACAGTTTTATAAGTATTTCTCATTTGCTCTCTGTCACCTTTATTTTTTTTTGATAAGACAGCTTATATTATATTGATTCATGATGTTTTCCTTATTCTCGCTGATGAAGGCCACAGGAGTGGCAGAAATATCCGAGTTTATAATAAATCAGTGTTCTTAAAGTCTACACACGTAGAACACAAATGATATATATATATATTGATATTCAGAGAAAAAGTATTTAATGTGAGAGGTATCAACATTAACAATTGAAGCTTAAAAAGTCGCCTTAGGTCCTCTATAATAAAAAAAAAAACACCAAAAAGCATTGTTTAAAAACCTGACCCTACATTTATAAAATTTTGGTCGGTCAGGCTCGAATGAAAAAGTTTATTTTTGTCTAATTACCGTTGCAATCTCATGTGTACTTTGAACATGTGCAAACCTCGTTAAGCCAGCAAAGTTCCTTCGTCATTGAATACAATATTTATAGGCACAGGCTAGGCCTAGCCATACTGTTTAATCCAATCATATTTATGGTTTGGTTAATGTTGACCGATAAAAAATACTGTTCCTACTCTATTTTTACTTAAACGATAGGTTTTTACTCCAAAATATGTACTGTATTATCTAGTTGGTATGACACGAATAAAGCTTTTTCTCCACACAGAATTAAATAAAACAAATACTTTCCAGTAACAACCTGAAAACCTGAATCTTAATAGGAAAATTAAAGCGTATACTGACATACTATGTCATGATATCTGAAGGTTTTTGGTTCGAATTCTGATTGCAACAATATGTTCTTGCTGCTATTCATAATCTTTAGGTAACACTTACTGATGTATGCATACAAGTATCTAAATTTAACAAATTCATTGTAAAAGCTGAATACTTGTGGGCAGATATGATTAATATGTAACTGCTTTTAAATAAATTATATAACTAAATAAAATAAACTGTTCCAATAAAACAATGTAGTGACTAAAAATGCTGAATTTGCCCAAATGAAGCTAACAGTAACCAGAAATATTTTTCATATAACAATTGTTGCTGTGTGGTGTTTGCTGTGTACAGTGTTCTTTGTTTAATCTCAGCAGAAATAAAGCTCTATTTATCAAAGCACTACATTTAGTCCTCTATTTTATTACAAACTGTTAAGGACAACATTCCACTTAAGTTCAGATATAATAGCTTTAGCCATTATATTATATAATACATAAATTTTGTTCACAAATTTATAATTTTGCTATGTTATTTTAATACTAAAATCTATAATTTGACAAAGGTCCATTCCACTTCGTATACACCAACAGACTCCTGTGCATTCTCGTCATAGTCTACCCATTCCTGAAATACCAATACAGTATTGATTAGTATTATTTGCTTAATATAAACCATAGTAACATATATAAGGACCTATATATTAATACTCATTATCAAATTTGAAATCTATTTCCATACTGTATTTGAAAATTCCATTACCTTTTCCGTCAAGTCCACTTGGAAGGTTGATGATGATTCAACACCAGAGCAAACAAACCCAACCTAAACAAAATATAGGAGCTGTATTAAGTGATTAATGAAGATTGCATACTGTATAATGATTTCGATTTCATTTCATTTCATTTATTTTATTAGTACAAAATGGCTCTGGGGTTGCGTCAACAACAGTACGCCATAACACCACAAATGGTGCCCACAACCCATTTCTTGCATTTCAGCCCTCCAGCTGAAACACAAGGAGAGCAGCAATGGAAACCAGGGATCTGGAGATCTCCACGGTTCAGTGCACACACAGTAGGCACGTTCACATAAGTTTTTGTGATAAAGTCATCATTATCTATCCATCATTATAACTTAAGCATATTAAAGAAAACCGTATATAGAAACCATCATCATGAACCATTTATGCAATGCATGCAATGTTGCATGAAAACTACCAGAAGCACAAACAAGAAGGTTGGGACCTGCTTAATCAATTTAAGGCTGGTTGGTTGAATTTGATCTCATGAATTAATTTATCATGTTAACCAAGGTTAATCATGATGCATCAACATGCTCCACTAGATCAAAATAAGGTGATTAAGCTGAGCATGTTATTTGATTCTGGTAGGCCAACATAAAATTACTGGCTTGATCATATCAAATGGATCATGATAAACACTGAATGTGAACCTAGCTATAATGTTCTTACCCTGGGTGAGAAATCAACAGGTTCCATTCCTCGGCACTCAAACCCTACAATTGTTTTCATCTGGTTGTTATCCTCAATGTCATAGGATTTTATTGTGTCTTTCAAAATATCTACAGAAACATATGTCTTTTATTAAAATTCAAAGACATAATTTAAAGTCAAATGAAATCCTAAAAGAAAAAAAAAATAATACAAAACTTGCCTACCCATTATTAAGAAATCTAAATTTTAAAAAAATTTAAAGCGTTCTTCTGACTACTGTAGTTATCAATCACCAAATTACTGTAATTCATTACAGATTTTTTACTTTCCTTTAAACATCATTTCACATTAAATATTTTTCCTTTGTAATATCCACCTTTAAATTCACAAGCTTTATTCATTAAGGATTAATTAGTTCCCCTTTCTATTTCATATAACATAACAATAGCAAACAATAATAAAGAAATAGCATTTTCTTTAAAATCCTAAAACTTATATTTCTTGTTTTCATATACTTATCTCCATCTTGCAGCTAAAATTTGAAATGCAGGAGATGTTACACAAAGAAAAATATGCAATATCATAAAAAAAAAAACTCTAAAAATACATAGCTGAAGAATAAAAAGTGGAATATAAAAGATTTGAAGTCAAATTTAATAGCTACCCACATGATTTAAATGTGTTCTCAATAATGCATTGAAATCATATTTTAAAATTGAAATCAGAATAAAAAAGATATGCAAGAAATGAGTTTTTTTTCACATGCTATTTCATATTAATCACTTACACTTCTTTTTTTTTTCTACCCTTAAACTTCAAATTTTTCATGTTAGTAATTTGTAACAAATTTCTTATTGATGTTCTTTAATCTGGCAACATATTTCTTTTCGTTTGTAAATAAAGTTTCAGAAACAATTTATCATAACTATTTGTATTTCTATTTCTTACCTATTGAATTTTCTCTGCTACATAATTTGCATTTTGAAACCAAACTTGCTGAACCGCGACCTCCTTTCAAGGGATGACTTTCCTGAAATAGTTTAAAAGACATCAATTAATCTTTATAGATAATATTGTAAATTAATAATCTAGGAATTACAATGATTACCATAATTATGATAAAAAAAATTTTCAAATTCAAATTGATATTAAATATTAAATAAATAACTATCTAAAAAAATTATTATTAAGTAAGCAATAAAAAAAGCTTTTAAAACCCAATGACGAAACAGGAGATAAAGAGGCGCTTACTCCACCAGCACCAGCCAAAAAGATGTCTAAAACTAAAAAACAGGGGAAAGAGCTCCTGGAACGCCCCAAAACCCTTCCCCATTTTTAAATTTATTTTTTGTACATTCTGAATAGACATAACAGAAATAATAAATTTAAATTAGAAAAAAAGTGTAGATGTTATCATGAACATGATTGCTAAAATATTAAAATATAATCCGAATGTTCAACCTCATTGCCAATGAAAGTTTGAGAGTGGCCATTAACTCTAGAGGGCAGCAAACATTATTTATATTTATTTTAGAGGGCTATAAATGCAAAACTTGCGTCAACGGAACTCATCAACAACTCTATAGATCAGAAATATTGGAGGTAGGATCAGCGTGACCACTGCTTGGGTATTTACCCAAGATCTTGGGTATTTTGACTTGGTCTTGGGTTCAGGTTTACAGTGTGTATTGTGTGTGCACAGATATCTTTTGTAGTTCCACATTTAATTATCACCTTTTTGTAAACATTAATCTGACTTACCAGAAGCGATATGTAAACAAAGGACTTGCTTTCTTCCTGGCAATTCTGACACTTCAACTAGAAAACCATTAAGAAAAATCTTTTAAATAATTTAATAATTATAACAAAGAACTTCTATAGCAAACGAATGAAGCTTTTCTTGCTGTTTGCATTAAACTGGTTGAACGTTCACCTTTCTACAAGTGGGGGACTATTTTGACGGAGTGGAGAAAATAACAGGGAACAACAAACCTGATCAGTGAATATTATAATAATAAGCAAGGGCCACCGTGGGCTTAACAGACTAAATATTAACCCAGATGTTGTTTAACTATTTCCTAATTCAGCTCGATCATTCTCCTTTTATTATCTTTGCTTGTAATAGGCCTACTGACCTTAAGCATAAATCACCACGGCTAAAGTCTGACCAAAGGGTCATGCCAGACACGACTTAATTCCGTTTGAAAAATTATTTATTACCTCCTTGGGCTGAACCCACATGACTCTTCTTGTCACATCATTCTCAACCCAGACAAGTACCATCCCAGGAATTTTCGTTCAACTATATATATAAAAAAAAAACTACTCAAGCAGTCTCAATAATAGCTAAAGCCAATCATATTGAGATATTTGGAGTAATTGATTGGGACTTAGGCCTATCCGTTGATAGGTTAACCCTGTTTAGGTTAAGTACAAACTCAACAAGGTATTTTCAACGTTAAATACAAACTCAACAAAAGTTCTTTTGGGGCCGAGTTGACTCTTGGAGCCGGGTTGACGTGAGGCCGAGTCGTTATGCGGCCGAGTTGACTCAGATCTTCTTTCTCTGGGCCTAGAGGAAAAGGCCTAGAGCTATGCTCAAAGTTAAGTTGACCCTAAGCCAAGTGGATTTGGGGCCAAGTTCACTGAGGCTAGGTTGGGCCTACCTTCCATGGCCTATAGGCCTAGTCAAAGTGACTTTGGGTCTAGGCCTAGATGCCGAAACCTAGGGCCGCCTGGGCCTACCTCTCTAGCCTAGCACCTTGCTAGTTTTTCTGTATTTTTTTTTTTTCTAATTATTTTTTCATATTTCGCCCTCCAATTTGACATCATCTTTGGGACTTGAAAATTTGAGGCAGTCTCCACATAAGATAGAGGGTATGTTGCATTCATCGCGGCCGAAGCGATCCTCCTACTAGGCCTACACCGCCAAAGCCTCGCCTAGGCCTAGCCTACCTAGCATGCAGTATATACTACTACTACTAGGCTAGTACTACTAGCCAGGGCCTAGGCCTACAACTAGCCTAACCCCTAAACTTACCTTTAAATACCATCTAAAATCATCTCCTTCTGGACGCAGGTTCGTGACATTTTCTAGATTAGCTTGAATCTGGAGACCTATGCGCTACGTAAACAAAATTTAGTGGAAAATTAATAAATGATAAATAATATTACAGTATGCATAAAATTAAATTACAATACTAATCGAAAAATGGACGTCTTACCACCATATTTTTGTTAGTGATCAAAGATCTTTGTTAGTGATATCAAAGCACTAGAGGGCGGAAAACATGTTTTTCTTTGGCACACAGCTCCCGTTGCAACACACATGATGTACATACACATAATATCGTAAATTTATTAAAATAAGTTATGTAATGGACAAATACGTGTGGTCTATCTTTCCTTTAATTAGTTCAATGTCAAGATACATATTAATTACTTATTTCTTCTATAGAAACCAGTGACCAGTACACATAATGATATAAAAAAAATATTCTCACTTATTTATGAACTTGGATTTGGATTGGATTTATTCAGTGTAAACACCAAGGATAGCCCACGAAAATCTAGAAGAAGACTTATTTCCAGTGGATCCTTCTGGTGGTGATTGGGCATGAACATGGTGATTGGACAACAAAAACTAAGGGGCGGAGTAACAATAGAAATAATTAACAAATAAATTAATTGGTCACTGTAATAATAATGAGGCTAATATAAATGTGGCAATACAGATCTCAGTCGGTAATAACAAAGATGGAAATAAACAATGACATAGAATAAAGGAACCGCTTAGATTAAACCCCCTTCAACATGATATTAGCCTCATTATTTTTTTAATCTAAGCGGTTCCTTTATTCTATGTCATTGTTTAATTTATCTGTTAATTATTTATATTGTTACTCCGCCCCTTAGTTTTTTTTTGTCCAACACCATGTTCATTATATTCTATTATAATGTCGACCAATCATATTATACTTTACTTTTTATCATAATTATTGTAATAGCCAACTTATATTTTGTTTGTCACACATGCTGAAGAAGACCCGAGGACGGGTTGAAATACTAATGTTTTGAATAAAATTTGTGTTCCAAGTCTACCAAGTCGTTGACATCTCATCGTCTTTTTCATTAAGTTATATATATATATATATAAATGGTTCTATTTCTGGCTGTTTACTTACGTTTACTTTTTAGCTGCTGCTTATCATTTTTGTATCTCTACTGAGATCCAGCCATTGTTTCCCACAGCATTGTTGTTTTCCAGTATTTTGCCTTTTAATCTATACATATACTGTCTCTTATACACATCTAGATGTGTATAAGAGACAGAGTCAGTCGCAGTGCAAAAGTCAAGTGGCGCGGTGCAAAACTAAAGTGGTGCAGTGCAAAACTAAAGTGGCGCAGTCCAAACTCAAAATGCGTGTGCCACCACTTTAGTTTTGCACTGCGCCACTTGACTTTTGCACTGTGCCACTTGACCTTTGCACTGCGATTGTAGTTTGGCCTTTTGGCGTGATATCGCCAAAAGGACAAACTACAATCGCAGTGCAAGATTCAAGTGGCACAATGCCAAAGTCAAGTGGCGCAGTGCAAAAGTCAGTAGGTGCAGTGCACACATTTTGAGTTTGCACTGCGCCACTTCATTTTTGTACTGTGCCACTTGACTTTTGGCGATATTGTATGGAACGCCAATTTGGAATGAACTCATTTTTACTAGGCCTATATTATTATTATTATTATTATTATTATTATTATTATTATTATTATTATTATTATTATTATTATTATCATTTCTTTCTCGTCGGGGACATATCTCCCGATAGGAGA